TAGGGAACAGAACCCAGATGACAGATTCCGGCATCGGCCGGAGGACATTGCTGGGGACACTGCAGGAGGGACATCGCAGGAGCCCAGGACAAGGTAAGTGAAGAAGAGATCCTGGAGCAACGCTGCATGGTATTCCTGAGTGTAGCTCGGGGTTACCACATGTGGTGCTGAAACTTTTCCCCGAGCTACACTCGGGAATAACTCCAGGGAGGTTAAAGGAGGTTCTTTAACTACATGCCACCCAGCCACTGTACATATACGGCGGCAGGGCGGCACTCGCAGGCAAAACCACGTTTTAAAACGTGTGTTTTGTAAACAAATAGGGGGCGTGTGCGAGGCGCGCTGCCGCCCTATCTGTCCCGCCAATCACCGCCGCAGATGTCAGTCGCTGGGTCACAGCCGCTCCTTAGCGGCTGTTTCCCGGCGATCGGTGGCAAACAGTGACAGAGAGCACAGCTGCAGTAGCTGTGCTGTCTGTCACTTCCCTGTCAGCTCGAAGATGTGCTGATCGAGAGAGAGAACAGTTTCTCTTTCTCGATCAGCCTTGTCTCGTCCAGTACACACCCCCGCCCCCTAGTAAAACACTCCCCTCACTCCTATAACCCTTCCCTGCAAAATAAAGTTAACCCCTTCCTCCCCATTGCCATTAGTACAGTGTCAGTGTTTTTCTTTGCACTGATCACTGTATTAGTGTTTTTGGGGATGTCAGTGACCCCAAGTCAGTACCCCCCAATGTCAGAATGTCCGCCGCAGTCCCGCAGTCCCGCCATAAGTCGCTGGTCACTGCCATAAGTCCCTGATCGCCGCCATAATTCGCTGATCGCCGCCATTATTAGTATAAAAAAACCCCTAAAAATCCCAGTATCTTTCCCGCCATTTGTAAACGCTATAACTTTCACGTAAACCAATTAATTTACACGTATTGGGTTTTTTTTTTTAGCAAAGACATGTCGCAGAATGCATTTTGGCAGAAATTTATGACTAAATTAGATTTTTGCATTTTTTTTTTACTGGACATGTTTTATAGCAAAAAGTCCAAAATATTGTTTTTTTTTTTCCTCGAAATTGTCAGCCTTTTTTTTTATAGCGTAAAAAATAAAAACCGCACAGGCAATCAAATACCACCGAAAGAAAGCTCAATTTGTGGGGAAAAAAAAGATGTAAATTTCATTTATGTATCATATTGCATGACCGCGCAATTGTCCGTTAAACTAGCGCAGTGCTGTATAGCAGAAAAATGGCGTAAATTGCAGTATTTATACCATAGTTTGTAGACGCTATAACTTCCACACAAAGCAATCAATATACACTTATTGGGATTTTTTTTACCAAAAACATGTAGCAGAATACATTTTGGCCTAAAGTTTTTCTTCAAAATTTTTGGCCTTTTTTTGTTTAAAGCGTGAAAAATAAAAAGCGCACAGGTGATCAAATTACACCGAAAGAAATCTCTATTTGTGTGAAAAAAAGGACGTAAATTTCATTTGGGTGCAGCATTGCATGACCGCGCAATTATCAGTTGAATTAGTGCAGCGCCGAGTAGCAAAAAGAGGCGTGGTCATTAAGGGGGGTAAATCCTCATGGAGCTCAAGTGGTTAAATTATCAGATAGAAAAAAATGTATCTTCTGTCTCTTATGTAACCTTTGGGGAAGCAGTACACAAAACAGGAGCATTACGTAATAATTGCTTTTTCCAATCAACCCACAGTCCTTTATTCCCTAGGGGTTTTTTTCACAACTGCTTTTTTTCTTTGATAGGTGCCTCCTGATGGGATGCTTGTTTTTCCTGGTCTTATTTTGAGGCGACAGAACGTGCTGCTCTTTAAAGACGTGTGGGGCTGCCATTTCTTTGTTTGTGGGCGTGAGAACCTCCAGAAAAATGCATGGTGCAAAAGCACCATGCAATTTCCCAGTTGATGTAGTTTAAAAATGTTGCAGGACCCTTTTCCTGCGTGAAACACAAATACAACAACCCATTCAAATGAATGGGCTGTCATGCCCAAGTAAACCCGGATCACAGAGCTCCAATAGTGTCAACCTAGCCTTTACCCCAGGTTCACACATATGCGTTTTCTGCAGCATTTTGCAGAAACGCAGTACAATCCATTTAACATGATTTTCTATGGGACAGGTTCACACCTCTGCATTTTCACCTGTTTTGGAAAGGGTCAGTGACTTTTTTGAACACAAAACGTTGCATTTTTGGTTCTATAGATTTCAATGGGAATGCTGCAGAAAAGCATGTTTGCGTTTTTTGCTGCGTTTTGCTTTTAAAATCTGCCTAGCAACAAGAAAAATAAAAAAATGACAAAAAAAGCAAAATGCATCAAAAACGCGTCTAAAATGCAAAACGCAACGCAGAAACTCATCAAACGCAACCTGCATAGGTGTGAACCTAGCCTTAGGCAGTCTTTGAAAGGATACTTTTAAAATCGATGTTAGAAATCATTATTACACCTTCTATTCTTTTTCAGCTTAGCTCTCTCACTAGTTTGGTGTGTGTTCCCGATATTGTTTAGGGCAGTTTTTTTTACCTAGTTTTCTTCGCAGCACATTGAGATTTTTTTAGAATGAGTACCTGGAGATAAAGCAATAAGTCTGTTCTCTTTTAAATTAGGTTTTACTTGAAGTTGATAGAGGTAGAATTTTTATTAAATGGTCAAATAATGATCAAATGGATAAAGGAACTTGACTTTGAACTTTGAACTTTTTCCTGATTGTCCTACTTGTCCAGTGTTTTTATTATGGGATTTTTTTAGGGTGAGGCCTAGGTAAGGCAAGGTTTTTTTTTTAAAATCAGGATGGTTCCCCTCTAACTAAATTTCAGTTTACAGCTGTGTTTATTAGATGCTTGAAAGGCCTGAATTTAGGCCATGTTAATTTCTTATCTCATTCGTTTCAAGTAGGTGCGGCAACAGACAGCCAGATTAGGTCTAGGTAGTAGTACAACATATTATTAAGAGGATTGGGAGGTGGAGTTCAGGTTGTTATAAGCTTTACATTTTTCCCTAACCTATAATTTTGAATAGTTGCAGGTCAGTTTCTGTCTAGACTGAACTTTTTTGGAAGAATTTCTTGAGAATTGAAGTTTTAATACTAATTTGGTTAAAGATTTTTGGCACGGTAGGAGAGGTACAGTGCTGTGAAAACATATTTGCCCCCTTCTAATTTTTTTGCATATTTGTTGCACTTAAATGATTCAGATCAATAAACAAATTTTATTATTACACAATGATAACCCGAGAAAATACAAAATGCAGTTTCAAATTATGACTTCATTTATTAGGGAACAAAGCTGTCCAGACATACTACCAGACCTGTTGAATCAAGAAATCACTTAAATAGAAGCTTTCTGACAAAGTGAAGCACCCTAAAAGATCTCAACAAGTGACACATCATGCTGCAATCTAAAGGAATTCAAGAACAGATGAGAATGCGAAGCAAAGTAATTGATGTTATTAATCTGGAAAGGGTTACAAAGCCATTTTTAAGGCTCTGGGGCTCCAGTGAACCATGTTGAGAGTTATCATCCACAAATGGAGAATAAGAACATGACGACTCATCCAAGATGTCAAAAAATAACCCAAAATAACATCTAAAGAACCCCAGGCCTCACTTGCCTCAGTTAAGGTCAGTGTTCACTATTCAACAATAAGAAAGAGACTGGGCAAAAAAAGCATCCATGGGAGAGTTCCAAGATGAAAGCCACTGCTATCCAAAAAGAACACAAAGGCTCATCTCATATTTGCCAAAAAATCTTGATTGTCCCCAAGACTTTTGGGCAAATATTCTGTGGATTGTTGAAAAAAAGTTGAACTTTTTGGAAGGTGTGCGTCCCATTAAATCTGGCGTAAAACTAACACAGGATTTCATAAAAAGAACATCATATCAACAGAATGCGACAACTATTACATAGCCAGGTGATGATATCTTGCTTCTCAATAGAATTATTCATAATACAGCGTATCCCAAAGCAAGCAAACAATCCAGTACTGTTGTTCACTGAAGCCCTGGACATAATTGGGGTTGATTTACTAAAACTGGGGAATTTCAAAATCTGGTGCAGCTCTGCATGGTAGCCAATCAGCTTCTAACTTCAGCTTGTTCAATTAAGCTTTAAAAAAAGAAAACCTGGAAGCTGATGGGTTTCTTTGCAGAGCTGAACCAGATTTTTCACTCTCCAGTTCAAGTAAATCAACACCAATTGTCCTAAATCCCAAACGATTTGTAATTCTGTTCAGTTGATTTTGTGATTAATATTCCCCCACCTGGCAGCACAGCCAGGATAGTGATGTTTTTTTTTGTTACATAAAACAGAGCTGTCACCCCCACCTCCTGTAGCCTGCTGATTTGGGGAGTGAAGGATTAGCAGCAATACACTGATAAGTCATCTGTTCTGCTGACTCCACTTGGCAACACATGTACAAATAATAGAGCCTAATTGGTGTCTAGTGTTGCCCTTCCCTTGCTCAGTGTGAGTGCTGTTGTGTGGGGGATGATAGAAGCTGATATCAAGGTAGATTCAGTACTTCGCTCATCTGTAAAAGGAAATTGATTCTTTTTAACCACTTGCCTACCGGGCACCTATACCCCCATCTTGCTCAGGCCAATTTACAGCTTTCAGCGCTGTCACACTTTAACTGACAATTGCGTGATCATGCAATGCTGTACCCATACGAAATTTGTATCATTTTTTTCACACAAATAGAGCTTTCTATTGGTGGTATTTATTCATCTCTGGGTGTTTTATTTTTTTGCGCTATAAACAAAAAAAAGCAAAAAAAAAAAAAAAAAAAAAGTTTGTTTCTTTGTTTCTATTATAATATTTTACAAACAGGTAATTTTTCTCCTTCACTGATGTGCGTTGATGAGGCTGCACTGATAGGCAGCACTGATGGGCACTGATAGGTGGCACTGATGAGGTGGCAAGGATAGGCAGCACTGATGGGCTCTGATAGGCAGCACTGATAGGTGGCACAGATAGGCAGCATTGTTGAGCTGGCACTGATGAGGAGGCACTGATGATGCTGCACTGATATGCAACAATGATGGGCACTGATAGGCAGCACTGATGGGTGGCACTGACTGACGGCACTGACTGGCGGCACTGCTGGGTGGCACTGCTGGGCAGCTATGATGGGTGACACTGATGGGGAGTGTGGGTGGCACTACTAGGCACTGATGGGCATAGGTGGGTGGCACTGCTGGGCACTTGTGGGCGGTACTGCTGGGCACAGGTGCGCAGCACTGGTGAGTGGCACTGCTGGGCACTGATCATCAGTGACCTGATGATCGGTGCCGATCCTCCGTCCTCTGACAATTGCCGGTTATCGGCAGTACTTCCTCACGCTGTGACAGCCAATCACCGGCAACTGTCATTGGACACAGCTGATCACGTGGTAAAAGGCCGCTGTGATTGACCTTTTACCACTTCACGCCCTCCTGGAACTGGACAACCGCACTGTAGCTGTTATTCGGCTATAGCACGGTTGGCAAGTGCTATACTTTTGCAAGTTCTCCCACTTAGAAATCATGGAGGGGTCTGAAATTCACATTGTAGGTGCATTCCCACTCTGAGAGACAGAATTAAAAAAAATTTTAGGAAATCACATTCTGTGATTTTTAAAAAATGTATTTGTCTTGCACTGCTTAACGTAAGTATTTGAACACCTAAGAAACAGCAAGAATTCTGGCTCTCAAAGACCTGTTACTGTGCCTTTAAAAAGTCCACCTCTACTCCACTTATTAATATAACTTTGTAGCACCTGTCTGAGCTCTTTAAAGACACCTGTCCACCCCACAGTCAGTCAGATGCCAACTACTACCATGGGCAAGACCAAGGAGCTGTCAAAAGACACCAGAGACAAAATTGTGGACCTCCACAAGGCTGGAAAGGGCTACGGGGCAATTGCCAAGCAGCTTGGTGAAAATAGATCAACTGTTGGAGCAATTGTTAGAAAATGGAAGAGGCTAAAGACGACTGTCAGTCTCCCTCGGACTGGGGCTCCATGCAAGATATCACCTCGTGGGTTATCACGGATGATAAGAAAGGTGAGGAATCAGCCCATAAATACAAGGGAGGAGCTGGTCAATGACATGAAGAGAGCTGGGACCACAGTTTCAAAGGTCACTGTCGGTAGAACACTACGCCGTCATGGTTTCAAATCATGCATTGCACGGAAGGTGCCCCTGCTCAAGTCATGTCCAGGCCCGTCTGAAGTTTGCCAATGACCATCTGGATGATCCAGAGGAGGCATGGGAGAAAGTCATGTGGTCAAATGAGATCAAAGTAGAACTTTTTAGTCTAAACTTCACTCGTCGTGTTTGGAGGAAAAAGGATGAGTTGCATCCCAAGAACACCATCCTTACTGTGAAATATGGGGGTGGTAACATCATGCTTTGGGGGTGCTTTTCTGCGAAGGGACAGGACGACTGCACTGTATTAAGGAGAGGATGAATGGGGCCATTTATTGTGAGATTTTGAGCAACAACTTCCTTCTCTCAGTCAGAGCACTGAACATGACAACGACCCGAAGCACACAGCCAGGATAACCAAGGAGTGGCTCCGTAAGAAGCATATCAAGGTTCTGGAGTGGCCTAGCCAGTCTCCAGACCTAAATCCAATAGAACATCTTTGGAGGGAGCTGAAGCTCCGTGTTGCTCAGCGACAGCCCCGAACCCTGACAGATCTAGAGGAGATCTGTGTGGAGGAGTGGGCCAAAATCCTTGTTGCAGTGTGTGCAAACCTGGTCAAGAACTACAGGAAACGTTTGACCTCTGTAATTGCAAACAAAGGCTTCTGTACCAAATATTAACACTGATTTCTCAGGTGTTCAAATACTTATGTTCAGCAATGCAAGACAAATAAATTCTTTAAAAACCACACAATGTGATTTCCTGAATTTTTTTTTTAAATTCTGTCTCTCAGAGTGGGAATGCACCTACAATGTGAATTTCAGACCCCTCCATGATTTCTATGTGGGAGAACTTGCAAAATCGCAGGGTGTTCAAATACTTCTGTCCTCACTGTGTATATATATATATATACCAATTCTTTGATTCATTAATTCTCTGTTTAGGCTTTTTTGCTATTATTTTCAGTGAAGCTGTTATTTTTCAGCTTACTATAATAGATGAAGCTATCCAGCAAAAGTGGCAATTAAAGGGTTGTGGCAAACCATTTACCCTGACATGGGTGCTTACAATAATCAATTTTTATTTATTAATGACATTACTGCTGTCCAAATGTGTCTCCGTCGCTCCTCTGTTCAAAGTGACACCCTAGGTGAGGAAATGTTTTAACTGGATCACTAGGTGAAAATAAAGGGAAAAAAGCCAAAAAAACTAATGCAGTCATCACATTTAAGATTTGGTAAACTGAAATAAGTATTACATCTGTCTGGGTTTCAGCTTTGAGAGAGATTTTATAGGTTGTGTACACGGGCAGATTGACCATTCGGGCTCTCGGGCAGTGTCCGAGGGCCCAGGGTCAGTAGGGGGCCCCATGAGATGCCCCTGGTACCTTTCATAGACTTTTTTTTGGGTGTGGTTTGAGTGTGGGCAAGGACACAGGGGCCCCATGATCCCCTATTACCCAGGGGCCCCATGAGTCTTTCCCTGGTTGTGTATAATCCCTTTAAATACTAAGTGGAAGAGTATGCAATCTGTAAACCAGACAACTGGCAAAATGTGAAGTATTCCTAAATATATGGTGTTAATAGTGCACATTGTTTTCCTTTATATCTAAAGAAATATAAGTCTTTTGAGCTGATTATATTTCTAGGGATTACATCACCTTTGTTTTTCCTTTCTATGCAGGTGTGTAAAAATAGGACAATGACACTGAGCCACTTACAGAATAAATGCAATATATCAGTCAACCACATCAGTCACACCCAATCTGTCACTGTTACTTAGTGCTCACTGGCTGCTGTCCTTACCCATTGTTAAGTATACCTGTCACTTGTACTCAGTAGAGAAACCAATATTTAACCCATGAATGTACCTCAAATTGGTGACAATACATGGAAATTATGCGGATACAGGGATTTTTTTCGGGCGGTGAACCTCATTAAATGTAAGAATTTTAAGTACCTAAATATGACTTGGAAATTCAATCAAAACTTGCAAACTCATGTTTGAATGGTTGGCGAGTACCAGGATTCAGTAATGATTCTGCAAGCCATCACTGAATCCTGATATAATTTGCTAACTATGCCAAGTATGAGTATTAGTCCCAGCGATATGGATAGTAGTCCTTACTGAAAAGAAAAACTGTGTTTTTTCAAAACAGCAATTAAATAGAAAGAATGGGATGTTCCAAGTGCACAGGGAAAGGCAGTGCCAGGGCTAAAAGTAATATATAGTGGTTACTCTGGTTACTTGACCTCTTTTTAGATGGCTTCATAAGGAGATAGACAGCCTGTCTGAAATAAAACCACTTCTGCTGTGCTCTTTCATTAGGAAACATATATTGCTGTAGGTTTGCATTGTTGCGGAACTATCCTGTATTGATTTTTTTATTAGCAAAGATAAAACATAATTTTATAAGCTTTTAAAAAAATAAACTAAAAATGTATCTAAAACCATTATACACTATATGGCCGAAAGGATGCAGACACCCTGTCAGGGTCCTGTCCACGGCAGAAGTTCTGGAAGATCTGGCATTTCTGCCAGTACTCTGCATGGCCGCAGAAGTACACATAAGCCTCAGTTTGGTGCCACACAGCCTTCATAAGGAGGCTCATCACTTCCTCAAGTTGCTGAATGATCTCTAGCTCCCCGTGCCCCGTTCCTGTTTCCTGTGATTCTGACTTGTGATTTCCTGTTACCGACTCGGCTTGCTCCTGGACCTGTCTACTCTGCTTTACACCTGTCTACTCTGCTTTACACCTGATCTGACCTTGGCTTGGCTTACGGATACTCTCTCTCTCGCTCCTCTGTGTATGACCTCGGCTATCCCATCTGACTACGTCTGCTCTGATTCCCACCTGGTACCTGACCTTGGCTTGAACCGACTACCCAGTAAACATCTAAATCCTGGAAGGGCTTACATACCATGCACGGGCGCCTCCTGTCTGCAGATCTGTCTCGATGCACCAGCTGTGCTTCTGAGTGGACCACCAACCAGCACTCCTACAGGTGACCTGTGCAACTTTGGGCCAGACTCCCACTGTCCCACTCTCAGGGGAGTCCAGAACTTAGCCGAAAGGGAAGCCCTCTCTCCATTGGCCTCCATCAGGTACTTGATACACCACTCAGGTGTTTCCAGTGAATGATGCTATTAATTCTACAGCATACAGACATTTTAGACAATTGTGACAACAGTTTGAGGAAGGCCATTTTCTGTTCCAGCATGTCAGGAGCTTACAATGCTAATGTTCCATGGCAGCTGCTGGTCTCATTCCAGCATCCTGGTTTTTTCTGAGCTGCACTCTCCCTGTCTTGCTGTCCACCTACAGGGTAATTATTAGACACACCTTCTGGGTAATGTTCAAACCTGTTTTAAGCCTGCCAAGCCCTTAGTGTTATGCTTGTGATAATGTTTGCAACACGTGCTTCAAGCTCCGTTTGCCTGCCTTGTTCCTGTACCTTGACCTTTGCCTTCGCATGAGCCCTGCTCTGTCAGCTAGCATGGATTCCCTTGTTGATGACCTTGGATCAGATTTTGAGTATGCTCAGCCTGCTTTTTGATCATGGATCTGATCGTGACTATAACTGGATCACTCTGGCAGTCTGCCAACTGCAATTACCTGTTTATCGTGCTTAGTCCTCGCCTGATCTGGCATGATAGCCAGGCACTATAGCATTGTGCATTAGACCTGGTGGCAACCGAGTACCGGTACTCCAGCTTACCATATGGGAAAGGGGGCTACTATAAGTGAAGAACACAAAAACCAGCCATAGTGCCTGACCACCGATTCTAGGGATAGGCGTGACACAGCATAACTGTGCTCTTGTTCACAAACAAAGGTTCATACAGACATGATTTGACAAGTTTGGTGTAGATGAACTCAAGTGGCCTGCATAGAGCCCTGACCTCAACCCTACAGAAGACCTTTGGGATATCATCCAGGTCTTCGCATCCAACATCATCACCTGACCTCATACATGCTCTTTTGCCTAAATGGGCACAACTTCTACATAATTTAGGCCAAAAAGTCACGTTTCTCTTTAAGTATTAGTCTTCTATAAAGACCAATGTAATGCTTAGCAATAGCTTTACCTGAATTTAATGGAAAACATGCTTATTTAATACATGCTGTTTGAGGGTACAGAAATGAGGGACCATTATTCTCTTAGTGTGTATGGGGTAGTACGATATCACATGCAGTTGTTTTTGCCTGCTGTTTTTTTTTTTTTTTTTTTTATATATTATAAATATTTATTAATTTTCAACCAAATACAAATCACAATCACTTTCTTCTATAAAAAAGACATCAAATCAATATCTTCCTATTGACATAATTTATCTATATCCCACTTCCTCTACCCTCCCTTTCCCCCCCCTCCCCTACTCCTTCAATCACCTCCCCTCCCACTCTGCATTTCTCTTCTAACCCAAAACTTTTTTTTTCTTTCTAAAAACCATTTCTAAAATCCGTTTTTATTTTGAGGGGTATAAATCATCATCATATATTTCACTTTTTCTCTATACTCTTCCCATTTTTTCCATTTTATATAATACTTGTCCATCTTATCTATATACATATAATACAATCTTTCCATCGCACAAATCTGATTCATTCTGACCATCCAATCTTCCTCTGTCGGCACCTCCCTTTTTTTCCAGAACCTAGGTATAAGACTCTTAGCTGCGCTCAAGAAATGCCATATTCCTGAATCCTTATATAATCTCACTGGAAGTTCTGTGACATGGAGAAGACATAGCTCTGGATCCAATCTATAATCGATCTCAGAAATTTTCCTTACTAAGTAAACAATTTTCCTCCAAAACACCTGTATCTTTAAACACTCCCACCATATGTGATATGCCGTACCCACTTCTCCACACCCTCTCCAACACAGTGGTGAAATCTCCCCATTCAATTTGTGCTCCACATTCGGTGTGATGTGCCATCTTACTAAACACTTATAGTTCAACTCCACTTCCCACATGCTAATATTTTTGTGAATTAATCTAAACATTTTCCTCTGCTGCTCCTCGTCTATTTCCCTTCCCATATCTTTTTCCCATTTCTCTACATATATTAGTTTTGTGCCAGTGTCTAATTCCATTAGTATTCTATATATTTTTGCAACTCTGTGTTTTCCATCTACCCGTGTTTCTAATAATCTTTCAAATGGATTCCACTCCTTTCTAGTTCTCACAGGTTTTGGGAGACTCCCAAAGAAATATTTCAATTGATAATCACATGCATTTGGATCCATCCAGTCACTAGAAGTACTTTGGGAGGAAAACAACCATAGACAGGTCAACTGTTACTTTTTATCCTGCATCAAAAACATGGACATGGAAGACATGGGAATGGATTTAATAAAGGCAAGTAGATTTTGTACTTTGAAAGTGCATTTGTTCCAGAGCTTAGTAATGTGGTAAAGCTGTGCTGACTTCCATCATCCAATCATGTGCAAGCAAAAATGCTGTTTTTGCTTGCTTATGATTGGATATTCATTGTAAAGTGATGCTTTGCCTCATTTACTAAGCTCTGAGGCACTGCAACTGCTCTTGAAAATTGCACAGTATTTTTGCCTTTAGTAAATCAACCTCATGGTGGCATACAGGGGCGGAGTGACAACTCATGGGGCCCCCGGGCAATAGGGGATCATGGGGCCCCTGTGTCCTTGCCCAAACTCAAAAAAGCCTATGAAAAAGGTACCAGGGGCATCTCATGGGGCCCCCTACTTACCCCGGGCCCTCGGGCAGTGCCCAAGTTTCCAAATGGTCAGTCTGCCCCTGGTGGCATAGATTTCTTCGTGCAGTATCATAATCAAGTGAGCTTTTGGAATCACTATATATAATACAACCTTTTTGTATTTCCAACTATTATGAAGACAGTAGGCAGAGTTATATGCTTATCTACATTGCAAAGAGCAAAGCACAATTCCCAATAAAACAATCTCTTCTGCAATAAACCTCATAAACATAATCTCTTCATTGATATGGCCAATGAAAACTGAAATCTGATTGGATGATATCATTGTTCCTTGCATCCAGAAATGATTGCATTTCATTTTATGAGCACAGGGCAACATCAGTGCTTGTATTAATGGAAGCCATTGGAGAAGGAAAGGTATAGAAAAGGTACAGAAAAGGCTCGGGCATGACTCTGCTTGTACCTTTTGTATCTTTTCATTTTACCACTACATGATTAAATCAAAAGCATACTGTAGATGGCCAAAATATATTTTTTTTTCTTTTTAGAATTTTGGCAGTAAGTTACAGAATCACTTTGAATTGGATATGCTTTAATTGTCAAGGCAAGCAAAATATGCATAAATCAGCAAATACAGCTCTTCACCCTAGGCCTAGTAAGGGTACAAGGAAGAAGATATGCAAAACTGAGATATGTGGAAAGTCTTTTTGATATATAGCTTCAGGAAAGATAATATCAGAAAATTAATGTACACATGTCATGTGGGAAACAAAAGGACTTGTTGATCTCTTTCTGAGAATACTAGTCACCTAGTTATGCTGACCTGCTGGTTTTAATACTTTGAATCACTGATCGAGAGAAGGTAGGTATTTTAGAACATTTGCAGGAAAGTCATATATTTTTCTCTGCATGTGTTCTAGGGACTCATGGTATCGAAGCAAGAGAGTCAAAATTACAGTCAGGCAGTTTGCATATTTAGAAAAAAATGTAAGTAATGACAGGTTTCCTTTAATACTTCCTGGCTTCTAGAACACACTTTTTTAATACTTGATATATAAGGAAACGAGGGGTCATGGGGTACCGGAAGAGAAACAATAAAAAGGGTATGGGGAGGGCTCAGAAAATAATTCACAGCAAGGTGTTTTCTATTGAACTGATTCATCAGATTGAAAGAAAATGGAGATCTGATTACTATGGGTGAAAAACACATCTCTATCCATTATTTTTAATTCAGTCATACTATGTTTTTGTCAGCTTCTATTATGATTCTTCTCCTTTTTTCCTGTAAAAGTAAAGAAAACCATATATTTAGAATGTTCCCCATTAATGTGTTCATACAGCCAAGACTTGTATATGTTGTAGAGAGTAGAGAAGGTTTAAATCAATTTTTTGTTGTGTTCCATTGGGGAGGTTTCCCTTTACATCACAAGAAGTGAGAGTAAATTTCTACAAAGTAAGGTGAGTTACAATTTTAGACAGATATCACCTGAATCGGTGCCCCCGTAGGAAAATTTCAATTTTTGTTTTGGTGCCAAAGGTCATGAGGACAAATTGGGAACATCTCCCTAGCAGAGATTGATTTACTAAAGCTAAATTGACTGTTCGTTTTGCAAGGGAATTCTCCCCTGAGCTTAGTATATGAGGTGAAACTCTGTTGACTTCAATCATCCAATCATGCGGAAGAAAAAATGCTGTTTTTTTTTTATTTTCTTCTTGCACATGACTGGGTATTCTTTGCAAAGTGAAATCTTACCACATTCACTGATTTTGTAAAAATTACCCTGCACAATGAACAGTTTATTTGCCTTTAGTAAATCAACCCCAATGGCATGCAATTAGGCCTTGTTCACACTTGCTTAAAATATTGACGCTTAACAAACAAGCCTAAAGAGTTAATGCAAGTTATTCTTTGAGTTTGCATTGTGTTTAACATGTGTAAAAAATGCTCCCCAAAAGCCCTATGCTTTTTGAGGAGCGTTAAAAATGCACCCTAGATGCCTAGGTTTTTTCTTGGCTGCTGTGAACAAGGCCTAACTCCCTGCAAACGCGCCACAAATACATCGCAAACCTGCAGCAAACACATGCCAGTGAGTTTATGGTGAGTTTCCATAGACTTGAATAGAAGGAATTGAGATGCTTCAACTCCTTCCGAAATCTTCATGAAGCTTCATTTTTGAAGTGCAGCAACGCAAAGCAAATACTTTATGTTTTGATAATGTGAACAGCACTATGTGCTGTCCATAGTATTAATTGCAGTCTGCTTTAGTCTAGGTTCACACCTAAGCGTTTTCCGCAGTGTTTTGCGGCTTTCAGAAACGCAGTACAGTCCATTTAACATGATTTCCTATGGGACACATTCACATCTCCGCATTTTCACCCGGTGCGTTTTTTGGAAAGGGTCAGGGACTTTTCTAAATGCAAAAAGTTGCGTTTTCGGTTTTATAGACTTCAATGGAGATGCTGCAGAAAAGCATTTAGTGCATTTTTGCTGCATTTTTATGGTTTTTTTTGGTTTTGAAAATGCATTTTGACGCATTTTTATGTGTTTTGCATTTCTAATCTGCTTAGTAACAAGAAAAGAAAAACGTAAAATGCATCAAAAATGCGGCAGAACTCCAAAGCACTGCAGAAACGGATCAAACACAAACTGCAAGGGTTTGAACATAACCTCACTAGGAGTTTGAGGAAAGTTAAAAATGTGCCCCAAACTCTATGCCAGTGTGAACAGGGCCTTAGGCTACATTCACACTAGCCTTGTGTGCAGGCGGCAGAGAGGCGTTTGGTAAGCGTTTTTACCGCTTCCCAAACGCCTCTGCCAATTCTGCACATTACAGCACATGGTGCTGTTCTAACAGGAGCGTTTGCGCGTCGCGTTGCGTCGCGGCAAAACGGACGCCTCTGGACGAGTCAGGAGGCTTTGAAGCCTCCTATTCTCGTCTATGGTGCTGCTCTATGGTGCGGTTGCGGGGCGTTTGCGGAGCGGTAACACCACTCAAACTGCATTATAAGCATTTGTGGGGCGTTATTAACGCTCGACAAATGCCTAGCAACCGCCGCTAAACCGCGCATGCGGCGTTTGCGGAGCGTTTGCTGAGCGTTAATAACGCTCCACAAACGCCGGACCAATGCTTGCCAAACGCTATAGGGGCGTTTGGCAAGCGTTGGCAAAACAGCCTAGTGTGAACGAGCCCTTAGAGTTTGAATTTTGTCACCAGTGCTGATTCTTCCTTTAATGAAGTCAAGTTGCTGGTTAAATAACACAAATGTTAGTATAGCTGAGATGACACCAGATAAATCACAAACCGGCAGGTACTCTAGGTTACGCTGGAATTTGTCAATTAGTATACTCACCGTGAAACCTGAACTGTAGTACATCAATAAAATGCCATACTGGGAAATATATAATATTGAAGACATTTTGCTGTTTTGATACCCCAGCATTTAGCTTTCTTACAATCTCTTCTTAACAATAGTTGTATGGTCTTTTCATATTTCCCAACCAGGGGTGGACTGACAACTCATTGGGCCCCCGGGCAATAGGGGACCATGGGGCCCCTGTGTCCTTGCCCAAACTCAGAAAAGCCTATGAAATAGGTACCAGGGGCATCTCATGGGGCCCCCTACTGACCCTGGGCCCTCGGGCAGTGCCCGAGTTTCAAAATGGTCAGTCCGCCCCTGTCCAACAGAAATGTACTAGCAGGGTAATCAAATTCCATTCAAATTCTTTGTATATGTGTTATGAACATTACACTGCAAGCTAACTGGGGGGTCAATAATGACATCATTGATTGCATTTTCTCTATAAAACATAGAAGACTATGTCTTCACTAAATATATGAAATAGATAAACTTTGGGGTTGATTTACTAAAACTAGAGAATCCAAAATCTGGTGCAGCTCTGCATATAAGCAAATCAGCTTCTACGTGCTATTGTCAAAGCTTAATTGAAGAAGGTGAAGTTAAGCAGGCCATAAATGGGTTGAATTTCGAATGATTTCTTGATCAAAAATTGAATACATTGTTCGTTCTGTAGTCCGATGGTGCCACCAATCATTTAAAAAAATCGGGTCGTTTTCACGCGTTTTCCAACATTCCCGATAAATGAAATGGGCAGGAACCACGAAAATCGGACAGTGCCATTGCCCCACTAACAGAGCGAAAATTGTCCGATTATTGAACCAAAAATCATTCGAAAAGGGACCCATGTATGGCCGGCCTTAGAAGCTGATTGCATGCACTCTCCAGTTTAAGTAAATCAACCCCTATGTGCATATTTGTAGAATTTTATATAACTCACCCAAGAATCCTAATAACTTTCTTGACCCATCCATCTGCGGGGTCAACACAGAATACTCTGCCTTTCTTTGTCCTGAAACTGAAGAGGAAAACATCCGAAAATAACAGAATGCAAGGTTTTGAATAACAGTACCAGAAAATCCCTGTGTCATGTTAAACCAGTTAAAGTGTATGTAAGCCCTGACAATACATTTGTTGTTATATCTGTTCAATAAGTGCATAAAATACCCGTTGATACTGCCAGAAATCTTGTGAGTTCATACTTTGCTCTCTGCCAGTGCTAACTGTAATGTGCCAACTGTAATCAGATGGCTAGTAAGCCACTGCCAGTTGAGGCTGGTTCCAGCCTTAATATGTGCAGTGTGTTGCACACGCGTGCCCACTCAGTGTGGCGCATGCGCACTTCCAGCACCAAAGCCACTGGGATTGAAGTTGGCCATTTGGATGCACGCATGCGCACTCTGCTCGTAGAACTTGATGGCCATTTTTACTTTTCCTGGATGCCGCTGGTTCTCATAGGTACACCAACGCAGCGGCTTATATAAGGTAGGCACAATTTTGGAATCTTCATCTCCATGTCAGAACACATTTATATCTTGCTGGTGTACTTCATGCAAATGCGGCTATTTGGACTTCAGTCTATCACTTTAGTGACAAGCCTAGTGAAAGCTCCAGAGACATCTTTGTAACTACACCTAGGGTTCAATAGGTGTGAGGAGTATATGGTATGTAAGCTTTTTTAAACATTTGGCTTATGTGGCTTAGTTGAGGTTAGGTAATGACTACAGGCCCC